GAGAAATCAGTTCTGGTTGTAGATAATGCTTCTTACCACAACGTGAAAAAAGTATTACTTCAGCATCTAGGAAAGCAGAAATGTTAGAATTGCTTAGGGCCTACAAAGTTGAACATGATGTCAATAATACAAAACCCGCTTTATATGAATTAATAAAAAAAATCGGTTAGGTATTCCTGTTTCCTATAAATTGGACTGTTTACTGAAAGAACATGGGCATAAAGTCTTACGGTTACCACCTTATCATCCAGAATTCAACCCAATAGAAAAAATCTGGGCACTGGTTAAGAACTGGGTGGCAGTGCACAATACCACATTTAAACTGGATGATGTGGAGAAATTAGCCAGGAAGAAATTTTCTGAAGTTTCTGATCAAGAATGGTATTCTATTTGCGAACATGTAAAGAAATGCGAATCTGAATGGATTAGAACACATTCTGGATAATGCTGTAGATTCTCTTGTGTTTACTGTAAATACAGGATCGTCTGATGAATCTACTTCAGAGGATGATTGCAGCAGTGACAGCAGTAGGAGTATTATAGAATTGCTTAGTGACTCTGAAAGCGATTAATAAGTCAGGCCTACAAGAAATATTTTTTTCCAATATACCTACCTAGATTCTAAGCAAACATATTTTAAATTTTGTGATATGGCTTAAATTTATGATTTTAAAATCGATATATCAGTAAGGTCAATAAACAAAAAATCTTGAATTTCTTCATAATATACTTTTCCAATAACTCGTAACTAACATCTAAAATTTCATCAATTTGTTTAACTGTAAATGGAATTAAACAAGTTTGAATTTTTAAAGTAAGGGTAAAAAGTATAAAATTTTGTAAAATATTTCACACATATGCAACTAGCAGTCAATTGAATAAGAAAAACAACAAACATTTATTATCACTAAGCTATTTTGTATTCATTGTTCCTACGCTTATCGTTTGATTAATTATTATTGTATGCTGCAGATTTCGTTAAAGTTTTTAGATGTGAAATGTTTTAAAAATTTATATATTTTTCCCTGCTTTTCAAAATTTAAAAAGTAATACTAAAGTTGCATATTATGGCATTTGAGTTCCAACTTTTCAATGATTTTTGCCAGTAATCTGAGTAAACCATTTAATAATCAATATTTTTCATGCATTCCTAAATTAAAATAAACAATTTTATAAGTTCCTATTTTGTGTTTTTTTTTTACCTTTTTTTATTACCGAAACGATATATTTAGGGCTTGAAGTAATAGGCTATTATGTCCTAAGAGTTCAATATGTCAGCTAGTCCATTTTTATCTAAAAAACATTTATAACCCAAGATTTTAAAGGAAATTTAATATACTTTTTATTGTATGAAGCAATGCCTGCACCTACCTGTACTCAATAAGCAAAAAAGTAAAAAACAATGAATTTTTTGCGTATTAAATTCTTTTTTTATATTTTTTACATAAAACAAATAAATAATTTGATGTGAAATAATCATATTATTATAATTATATTAACTGTATGAATTTTGCCTCGCTCAGAAAGCAATTATACGCAAAAAATGGATCTTCTGCTATTTAATAATTTTTTCTTATAGTTGCATTTTCAAAAGATTTCGTTTTAACTATACCTGCATTTTGCTTCGTTTCCGAGATATAAAAAAACTCTAAGGGTTGAATTTTCACCTCTATCTCCAATTTCCACCCGCTGATTCATTAGCACATTTATTGACCATTTGAATTATTTTTGCCATAAAAACCCATAAAAGTGATCATTCCTATCTATATTACATATTCAATAGTCTATAAAGGATTTGCAAATTGCATTTTTTTTTATTTCAATATTCCTTGTATTAAAACTGGTGAAAATAACACCATTTTCATATTTATATTTATTTAAGAATTAAATTTGAAATGGTTACGCTACTGATTTGAAGTCAAACATCAAATTTATAATATGGCGCTGGTTATGACGACACGTTCGCGCATACGACTAACTTCAGGTGGATTCTTCTCTGGTGAAACGGATTCTAATACAAAATGTATCAACACAAGTCAAAAGTAAAAATTGAAGCTGTAAAGAATAACCTAAACATAAGAAATAATATTCAATCAATCGGCTTTCGTCGCAGTGTTGCCAAATATCAATGTTCCGTCCTGTAGTACAGACAGCCGTGAATAAACCATAAACAAGATAAATATTTGTAAAAGGTTTCACATGAAAAGTTACTACTTTTTATATCTTCTACCGTAACCTTGAGCCGATCCTGTCTTCTCAGTAGTGCCACCTTAAAACTTAGTTATCATGGCACCCAGTATGTAGGGGATCAAAATTGTTTTCGAAGCTGTATCTAGGGTTTCTAAGATCTATAGTCATATTGATGTAGAACCTGATTGTTGATGAAATAAGCAAATGCATGGGGCCCTTTGAGACGAGAAAAAGAGACAATCTTACTTTTAAAAATATTAAGTTGTAACGAATTTTTCAAGCATCAGCAAATAATGGTAAGCTGCAATCTGCAACCTTCCCTTTGACCACTAATTTTACAGTAAAGTTTTAGATCATCGGCGAAGATGAGATGGAAGCAGTCTAATTAAAAAAAAAAGATCGTCTATGAATATTAAAAATAATAACGGCCCTTGATTTGATCCTTGTGAAACATCTAAAGTAGCTACATATGTATGAGATCGAAATCAACCTGAGAACGTTCAACTAAGTAATTTTTAAGAAGTTGAACAGAAAAAAAGCATGCTCGAAGTTTTGATCTGTACTGTAAACAACTTGTTTAAAAAGTTTATTTGCTTTACATCGTTAAATTAAATTAGATTTAGTGCTTGTACCCGCTAAATGGTCATATCATGAGAATAGAGCACATGTATTTGAAGAGCATCCTCTCTAGGCATTATGTCCCGGATAGGTCCATTGCAGTGTAGGACGGGGAATTTATACTAACAAAGCCATTTCACCTCGATTGTATGCATGAGAATTTCGTCGACTGTGAGAGATAGAGATTTAGTTAAATGAGTCGTGTGTTAGGGCAGGAATTGTGCGCCATTATCAAGTTTTTCAAATTAGGTTGAATAGAAAAATCTCGGAAAATCATCTGAATGTTTTATTTTTTAAAATCTGTGGTAATGCGATGCTGATTATGCAAACTATTAGGTCAGATTAAATTTGTATACCGAGCTACATTCGTTAGAACACATCTACAGCGTGTCTGAGTTTGCATAACATTGAACACTTTTTGACATGAAAACTTTTTTGGAGCGCTTTACATAACTTGTTTCCTGTGTTCTGAATGAGACTCACTCTGGAAAACTTATAAAAGTACTCCTTATCATTTCATATTTTTTTTTTATTCAAGTCATTTACCGCCTTATTTTTCGATATTTCAATAAAAGGTTTTATTGACATAGTTGCCAAATGTATATCTGTCAAAATCCTGGATTGTTGTTTCAGCATTCCTAAGACTCATTTGGCATCCATTATTTGATGGATACTGTGCACAGTGCCTTAGTAACTCCATAGACGGTTTCGGAGCCTATTATGGCCTTATCTGAGTCTTTTTGGGCTACTTAACTCTGACAGATCTTCTAGGAAGTCTTTCACCAGTCGTGATTTGATTTTTGTTGAGAGAACTGCATTTAAGGTAGTTCACTCGCGACAGTCGTACATAAAAAAATCGCTTAATGGTGAATACCAATAGTTCGAGATTCTCAATGCTAATCAATTTTATTTTTGTAAGAGACTGTACAAAACACATATAAGCTTATATACAGGGTGTTTCATAATATATGCGCAGGACTTAAGGACGTGATTGCTCGTCCAAAAATATGAAAAAATGTTTCTATTAACTTACGCTCTAAAATGCACCATTTTCGAGATACAGGGTGTTGAAATTGAAAAAAAAAATTCTATGCCACTGGAAAAAGTACGGTTTTGAGACGCCCATTTGAACCATCAATGTTTTTTACATAAAAAAGGTACTCTTGGTCATACGCTCTAAAGTCGACCGTTTTCGAGAAAAATCAAATTTTAATGTTGAAATACATGGTCAATTTTTATTTCAACTTTAGAGCGTATGACCAAGAGTACCTTTTTTGTGTAGAAAATATTGGCGGTTCAAATGGGCGTCTCAAAACCGTACTTTTTCCAGTGGCGTAGAATTTTTTTTTTTTTTTTTTTCATTTTCAACACCCTGTATTTCGAAAATGGTGCATTTTAGAGGGTAAGTTAATAGAAACGTTTTTTCATATTTTTGGACGAGCTATCACGTCCTGAAATCCTGCGCATATATTATGAAACACCCTGTATATGGATGGGTTATAATTTTTATAAAATCCATCGGGCAACCTCATAAATATATGAATGGTTTGCTATAGAAATTTGTGCCTTCATATATTAATTTTAAGGGTTTGTTTTGGTTCAAACAGAAACGCTGATTCCAGTTCTCAAAAACAGTGGATGAATTAATTTTTTAAGAAAACGTCGCGAGGTTATAACAGCCTCTTAGCTGATTGTTATTTTGGTACAACGCGTTGATTGCAGCGTATACAATGTTGCAAAGTTGTAATAATTTTACGCAGCTACGCGTCGATTGCTTTAAAAATATTTTTATTTTAACAATTTATATTTTTTTACTAGAAAATTTTATAACTTCTTGATTTACATTACATTAGTTTTTAAAAAATATGGTAAGAACCGTTTTCGAGATATCTTGAAGTAAATGCATTACTTGTGTACATGAGAGGCTTCAAGAGTGTTAATGATGCACATTTTGATTGTTAATATCTCGTTTCACAGACGGTCAATAAATTTAATTTTTTTTAGTTACATAAAAGACACTTTCATTAACCTTATATTTCAATTTTATTAAATTCTTAAGAAAAGCCGTTTTACGAGTGAACTACCTTAAAGTAGATCACAATAGTTTTGCCTGATACTTGTTGATTTATTTTATTTATCTTCCACAGTGTTGTATGAATAATATATAAAACTAATTAAATTATTTCTTCCAGCTGGTTCAGATAATAGGCATTTACTTACAAATTGCCAATTGTCTCCATACAACAGTCCAACAAATAGTCCTAGGAGTAATAGAAAAAGACAACCACTACGAGAGTCTCGAAGAGTTAGCATAGAAAAATCTGGAATGTATCTACAACTAAACCAGTACAGACTTATGGATAGCATTGGCCAGGTAAATTTTTTTATATTCCATTAATCATAATTAAAATAAGTCATTTAATGTCAATAAATCATATGAAGCCGTTTATTATTTTAAAGTTTTTAAACCTCCAATAATTATGCGAACGTTATTGCATTCCTAAAAATAAAATAAAGTGGTTATAGACCATACACCTCTAATATTATAAAAAATAAAGTCGTTTGCGCAAGTGTACTGTGCTAGTAATAAATATCGATGGACTACTTGTACCACCTGACCTAAAATTTGACATTTGGTTCCTGAAGGTTGAAATTATTATTTTAGACTAATAATATCACAGTTTTCACGGATATTTAGTGTTTCCTGCTGCAGTTCTATGTTTTATTATAGATAAAAACATTTCTCATAACGTTGCAATTTCTTCATCAGAGAATTAATTAAGTCCCAGAATGAAAATATTACTCACGTCAACAACTAAACAGAGTAAATAAAAAAAGTTAGATACCTAAAGTTTAGTTTAAATAATCTGAAGCCAAAAGAAATTATATTATCTTCAGCATTTAACCAATACGCGTGTTTAGTGAAAACGTCACAGCTTGAGGAAGGTCATAGCACTGGATGCCAACAAAAGAACCATAATGTCAACTGTCATTAATGTCCATAAGAATAACACAGCGGTCATTGAAATTATTAAAGCATAATTTTGAAAATGGCAACAATTTAATTATTTAACATATTAAAGCTTATGGACGTTTATATATTTTTCTATCGATTTCATAATTTTTTTTCAGGAAAATATTTATTTGCCTTCGATTTGAAGAATTTTAAACCAGCATACTCAACCACTCGTTTTTGAAGTGGATATAATTTAATTAATTGACACCTTTAAAGCATATCAACGGTAAGTTGATGTCCTTTACATGTAATTCTATCGATTTCATAATCTTTTACGTATAGAACAATCCATTTTACTCTATAATAGGACTTACCCATGTTATGTTCAAAAATTGTAATACTTCCCTTATACAGTAGATGAAGCAAAATGTTTTAAACGAGATTATCATAAATTAAAATTTTCAGTGAAAATGTTAGTTACGAGGTTCTGCATTGTGGCCCTCAATAAAAGTTCTCAGAGTTATTATATTATGTTACTAGGAAGTAGAATGTGAACTTTATTGTTCTGCCAATGGAATCAATAGCATCTTTTAATCTTCATGAAGAAAAATATTTTTTTATTTAGATTCTGTTATGACCAAAGCTGAAAACTATATTTAAAATGAAAGTGAAGAGGTCAGAAGAAATGATAAGAACTATATATGCCTCCGCATTTTTCTTATACACATATTTGTGAAAATTTCTTGTACACATATTTGTTAAAATTATATATTAAATATTCGAAAGTTTACTCTGTTCTGCAAGATAAATAAATAAATAAATTTGAAGTAGTTTTATTATATAATATTATAAATTATCAAATATTTGTGTAGTAATAAATAATAATTTAGTATCTATTAAATTGTAACTATCGAGAACAGCTGATATGGATTAGTCAATATAAAATATATGTAAAATGTTTAAATTAGGAACCCATTCAGCCTTTACGGATTATGGCCAAACAAAAAACAGTATAAATCGCAACCCATGATGTACAGTCCTTAGATCAGAAGCATTTTTAACTTCTTCAGGGCCTTCCCAGTTGCGTTAATAATGTAATGGGCATAATACAATGAGGTAGCCATATTGTGGCAAATCACTTGGCATCTGGGACATGTACGACTGCTTTAAAATCCATTTTAAAAGTTACCTTTTAAATAAGTTGGCACAGTGGCCTTCTATATTAAAAATAAACTTTAATTCAAAATAATTAGCAAAGAAAATTTAGAATTCTTAGAGTATATTTGGCTTGAAATAAAAGTTGACAAACAGAAATATGCATTTTGTACATTGCACAGAATCTTTTATTATTTTTAAATAAATTTGAGAATTTACTTCTCGATATATTTCCGAGATATGATAAAATTATTGTTTGTGCACAGAAACATCCTCTGTCGAGCAATTGCTCTCTATTACTCATTCTTTTAATTTAAATTTAAAAATTTCTGATCTACACACATTTCCAATAACACCACGGCATTAATCGATCATTTGTACACAAACTTTGATATTAATAATTCTGGTGTTTTTGATGCAATGCTGGGTAGACATTGGATAGTATATGCATCTGTGGAAATATCTTTACAAAATGCAGCTGATAAGAAGTATAATTTCGTAATTTTATATCTATAGACTTGAACCAATTTTAGCTAAAATTAGATAATTTAAACTTGCACAGTGTATACAGGGTGATCCATTAGTGTGAAAAAGTCCAATATCTCCGTCATTATTAGAGATATAAAAAAAAATATTTTCACAGAATGGTAGACAGCGTTAAACTACATATTTTAAAATTATTTTTGAATATACAGGGTGTTTAATAACTTCAATGACGACTGTGTTATTCTTATGGATATTAATGACAGTTGACAGTATGGTTCTTCTGTTGGCATCCCTATGACCTTCCTCAACCTGTGGCGCGCACTAAACACGCGTATTGGAAAACACTGGTTTCCCATTTGCTATTCGCGATTCAAGCTAAGTGATACGCCCTCTGGAGGAAATTTGTAGAAGGTCCGTATAAGTAGGATATCGTTCAGTGTTGCCAGAAGTAGCAAAACTTATATGGTGTTAATGTCAAAATCTAAACTGAAGTATTCTTTATTGTGCAAGTCGTAAAATTTTGTTTTTTTTACGATAAATGGATATTTAAAAATTCACAATATTGAAATTTTACAAAACTTTGTTTAGAATCCAACTGTAATCTGATTTGTGACGGTTTTATTACCATTTACATGTATACAAAGTACTACATGATTCACTTCATAATATAAGAATAAGTCTAGTAAGATTTGTAAATAAATAATAATAAAAGTAATAAACGTTTGGTACCTGAAATGTCCTTTAAACCACATAATAAAGCATGTCCTGGGTTTAGTGAATACATATTTCTAGATGTTCTTGTAGCAACCAATAGGTGAATATTTCCAACAAATTAAGTCATACACATGATAAATATTATATTTATGACGAAAGCATGAGACTGGAACTTAAATTAACACTAAATGAAACTCAAAAACACTATTACAATGAGAATATTATCGAAAAACAGTTAAAAAAAATCACAAATACAAAATCCGCCCAAAACGAAAACATGTAAATAAACAAACATCCTACTTATAGGTGACAAATGACAGGCGCGCGAAAATTAATTTAAATCGCCAATAATAAAAAGAACGCTGTAACATAATTCTCCGCTTGAGATCACTTAGGGCGGATGTCCAATTATTAGCAACAATGAATTTCCAATTAATTTTAATATATATTTTTAAATTCTGTGTTGCACTAACAGATGAAGACCATAAAATTATAAAAAGAATACCCAATTCACTAATGCATGTTGTCACTTGTGGCTCAAGTTCACTCAGGGCGGCTCATACTTTTCTGAAAAATTTGATTTGTGAACTCAAGCGGAGATATACGAAGTTTGACTATTTACAAACCGAACTGCGCTTTCTGGACCCTCTCCTTTCCAACTAAACCAGTTTCACACAAATACGTTAGGTTGCCAGAATTTTGGAGAGTTTAAAAATCGAGGACCGCTTGAATCTTAAATTTCTTGTTAAACTAAAAAAATCTGTTAACATAAGTTTATGGGGATTATTACATCTCGTGTACTCTATCATTCGAGTGGCAAAAAAGGTTTAGCGAGGATCAGGAAGAATTCGAAGACAACAAACATCCGGAACGTCTGACTTCGTCGAAAACTGTTGAAAATATCGAGAAAGGTAATCAAATCGTCCGGAATGATAGACCTCATGTTCATACAGTCAATCAGCACTATTACGTCGAGGTTTTGAGTAAACTGAGAGAACGAGTAAGGAAAAAACGACCAGATCAGTGAAAATATAACTCTGCATGAGAATAACGCGCCAACTCATAACGGATTGTCGGTTAAACAATTTTTGGACAACAAACGCATGTCAGTGCTCGATCACCCTCCATATTTACTGGATTTGGCATCCTGTGACATTTTCATATTCCCAAAAATAAAAAGCGCATTGAAATGGGCCCATTTTAAATCTGTGAAGAACGTGAGAAAAACGGCACACCTGTTGCACAGGGTGTCAGCTGGTGAGCTGCAGCATTGCTTCAAACAATGGAAGAGGGGAATGAAGCTAAGTGTAGATAGTGTAGATGTGGTCACCTTAGGATGGATCGAAGGTCACGCCACATCGAAATGTTACCGTCTTGCTGATTCACTAGCCAAAAAAGCAGCCAACCAAATACTTTTTGGACCTGGCCCTTCTATTGGCCTGACAAAATCGGTAGTGACAGACCTAATTAAAGAACATTTCCTTGTGAAGTTCAAGGCAAGATAGGATGAAACAAGAAACTGCAGAGTTGCCCGGGAACTCTTAAGTTATCCTGACAACACTGCCGCAAACAAATACTTGACTATGACTAGACAGAATCTTCGCCTAGTCACAGGTACGGAAGCATATCCATATAATGGGGCTGTCAGAATCCGCACTCTACAGAGGGGGCAAACAAGAAGATGAGACCATCGAGCATATCCTTTACGACTGCTCGACGTTCTCATTTATTAGAAGATTTGTGTTCGGCGAGTATCGGCTAACACCGGCCGATATAAGAGAAGCACCTCTTGGCGACGTTGTCAACTACATTAATTCTGTAGGCTGCCCCACGAGCCTATCATTTTGGGAGGCCTAACTGCCGTGGGGGTAACCCACCCTCCACACGTTACAGATACAAAATCATATTATTGATGCATGGCCAAACGAAAAAACTTAAGAAAGATGGCATTGCTGACACTTTAAAGTACTCATCTATTCACACAAATCATAAAATTTAATACAGCTTTGAAACATAAATACAAATTTTTTACCCTATAAATTATCATTACAAATAAGATATTG